GTACTATTAGTCTTTTAGGTTGTTTGTTAAGGAGAACTTTGTATTGGACAGACGTAATACACCACATTATCCACGAGATCCACTTTTTCTAGAAACCCATCTTCCTTAGTAACTGATCAATAAATTTCCATTCGACCCAATCATATGCTTTCCTCTTATTCGTTTTAATCGCCATAAATTTTTCTGTACAGGATGGATTCATTCTTAGCCCATGAAACATCTCTTGTGCTACGAGAATATTATCTTGTAAGAGACCTAGATGTCGAAGGACGTTTGATCCATCCTCAACTTACGAAAGAGACCTAGGCTATATCATTCTTTACGTTAAAAAATTCTTTGTTACTTTGAAGAGTTAGAATTTTCTCTGTACTCTTTGAGATTCGATATAAAATAATTAAAAAAAAAAAACATGTTTTCTCCCTACTTCTTGTTAATTTATATCTGTTTGTTGAAATCTTACATCAACATCAAGTAAGGGCAATCTAGCTCAGATTTTGGACTCATATGGATCTAATTTCATATATGTAATTAGTGGAAAGAAACTATGGCAAAAATATTTCAACAAAAGCCGTATTATATCCTTCCCGGTGAGGATTTCCGGTGATGTTGGGGATCCCTTATTCTCGAAGAACTCAACCGATGACAATGATCTCCCGAAGACATTAACAATATATGGGGATGGTGGGGCTCTTTTCTTCCCCATGTTATCATTTGCCTCTCAACCAATAAAAAAGTGTGAAGAGAGAGAATTTGAAAACATCATCAAGTTCTATGTATCACAAATTTATCTATCGGAATTTTTATTTTCTTTGCTTAGGACGACTATCGTTATTATCAATCTTATGTATACTCGATACATTTTTTGTCAATTTTAAATTACATAGATGATTCATATGAGTCAAGCTAGGAGAATACTGTTTACATACAAAATAAAACACGGTTGTACATGGAACTTCGCCGACCAATTTATCCACTTTAATATTATCTCGTCGCGAAAAATAAGATATATCAAAAGTCAAAACATAAGAAAATACTCATTTTTCTCAATGTCCTCCAAATATGTAAAAAAAAAAAGAAAATACTATGCATACCAACTTATCCGCTTTAGTTTTATTTTTATTTTTGATATAAAGTTAAGATATGAATGCGAAAAGAATAGTTGTTTGCATATTCATATTATATTATATTTTGGTCATAGATAATTTATACACATAAATATATGTATTTGAATCCACATCATAATTCAACGGAGATATTAACATAAAAATCTATACGACAACCATATAAAAATGTTTTATTAGTAGATATATTAATTTATTTTTATGTCAACATTACAAATCTTGTGATTTGAATGTAACTGGTGACACAATGATAATACTAATCCAACCACTAAATTACATGGTTTATAACTTTATTTTAAGGCATATTATGTAAGAATATGATATTTCTTAATGTTTTTTTATAAAAAACATTAAGGACGTTGGCAAGAAAAACTGCAATTGCACTGCATCCCTTTTCCTTGAGTGATGCATTTACCCATTCCTTTATACTTGAGTTCACACAAAAGAGCACAACTTCCCGGAATACATTCCCCCTTCCTTCTTCCAAATATTAGAGGCGTAGAACAATTTTGTTTTGGTTGTGCACTCACCATTCCTGATACCGTTATATTAAAACATAAATTTTGTGAAAATAGATATTTTGAATGTATTACAACCATATTAATTTTTCTTATTCGTTGATATTTTTATTAAAAAAATTTATTTATATTTATAATAAAAAATTATAGCGCATAAATATTTATGAAAAAATGCGATTTGACACATTCATTTATGCGGTTTGAAACAGAGAAAAAAAACTGATAATGAATAAGCATAGATATATTCAAAGAAATCGTATCACAATAATTATGAATAGATATAACGACGATGAATTCTTGAAAGAACTAACCAAGATAGGTAGAGAAATGACATTAATAATTAGTTTATTTTAGAAAGATTATATGTAATATAAAAAATTTATTTTAATCTAAATACATACCTGCTACAAGAATGATGAAGATAGTTAGAACGGTGAACAAGCGTTGAAACGATTTCCTCATCCTAAATAATAAAAGTGAATTGGTGCTGTTTCACAAATTTTAAATGAAAGTATTATATGTTTTTTCCATTCAAACATATCTATATATACGTCTTGGTGAAAGCTAAATGATCACACATTCAACATACCTAATTTAAGTTATCTATTTTTTGTTCCGATTTAAAATATATACCTCTTTTACTTCCGATCTCAAGGGATATTGTTTCTTATTTGTACCATAGAAATATTTTTAGGACTTTTTGTAAATTAGATTCCTTTAAATCAGAACTATAAGAGATAGTTCGGATGTCAAAATGGATAAACCAGCCTATAACCAGTGAAGTTACACTTAAATGGTTTATGAGTTGCCCAATTTATTTATTAAATGGAAAAAATCTATCCATAAACTCAATAAATTTGATGGTTTGTAGTTAAATGAGTTGACCCATCAAAATAAAATAATCAATTAACTGATAAATAATTAATTAAAATAACAATTAATAATTATTCATATATAATCATTTTGCCATCATATATCAATGACATAAAATATGGAATCATGTTTTAGATGAGAAAATTGTAAAACCGTATTTTCAACGAAAAAAAATTTGACTCGCGTTTTTTTGCGGAAAAATTGTTAAAACATGTTTTTGGTGGGAATTGCAGAAACACGGTTTTGCCAAAAAAATTGTAGAACCTAGTTTTTGGCGAGAAACTATGAAACCATGTTTTTGATGGAAAATGTAGACTCACATTTTTGGTGGAAAAACTGTGAAATCGTGTTTTAGCAGAAAAATTGTGAAGCCGTGTTTTTTGGCGAAATTTTTATTGAGTTGTGTTTTTTGGCAGCAAAAGTATGGTATGATGATAATGGTATGGCAATGATAATATGATGATAATAGTATGGAGATAATGATGATGTTGAGTATGATAATTCAATGAGTTTATAGTTAACCATAAACAATTACAACCCAACCCATATAACCCAACAAACTCATTGACCCATCAATTCATTAAGATCCAAATAGTAAAATCATTAGCGTTGATGAGTTGGATCGGATTGGTGCGACCCGTAAAATTTGACCCATTTTGAGACTCATAAAAATAGGTAGCCTAAATTAAACATGTTTGAATATGAAATCATCTAACACCATTAATTCATTTTTAACATTTAGAATAAATCTTTAATGATACTTCACTATTTTGTTTGTCAACCATTTCTACGTGTGACTTTGGAACTAATGTCAATAAACCTAGTCGAAAAACTTAGAATTAAAGGCATGACGTCTTCACACGTAAGTAATCTTTGGAGACTCATCTCGGAAGATACCAAGAGGTAAAGTAAAAATCTATAACTCATGGTGTGAAACTATATCATTCCAACTGATTTTCATGTCATAGAAACGAAAAAACATTTTAGAGACTGCTAATTTTTGGACAACCATTCTTAGCTAATAATGGTGCAGTCATTAGTTACATCAACAACAAAACTATCTTCATGAGAGTCAACGAAATGGTTTATTACCCAACGATTCTCCATGAAGAACCAATTCTACAGAAAAAGTACATAGCAGACAAACCAGACCTACTAATTGATAAGAAGAAGATCGACGGAAAAAAAAAACATCCAACATTGTGGTACTAAGATCGAGAGGACGTCACCATAGTCAACAATCCTGTTTTGGAAGGTCAAAATCAAATGCTGCCAATGGAAGGCACGAAAGAGAAACTCAAGACATGATTGAGCACATACAAGGAAGCCTTCTCAAATCAAAAATCTTTAGAAACATTAAAGAATAATAGCTTTATGGTGAAAAATCCAAGTGTGAAAAATTCAGAAACCAAGAAAGCTAAAGGAAACGCTATCTCTCTAGCAATTCTTTCACCAAAATAAAACAAAGAGTTGAATTTAAATTTATGAAAACTTAACATTCACTGACCACACTCGCTTGTTTTTAAAAAATTTATGAAAATTTTACACTTGAACTAAATTTAAATTTGTTCTTAGTGGAAATGGACATAATTTTCGAAACGAGACAAATTTTGTATTCCCAATTGAGAACGGTACGTGATGGAAACATAAGTTCTTGAAATCCCATTTGAACCAAATACAAATATTGATATATATTTTATAAATAGTTATATATTAAATTTAAATTTATATCATATATAAGATAATAAAAGTATTATAAAAATTTGTTGATTTATTTATTATTATTACTTTACGTTTTCATCTAGATAGAATTTTGTTTCTTTTTTCTTTTATTTGGGTTTTGTTTAAGAACCCATAAAATATTATTTTTTTAATAAATTTGAATTTAATTTTTATCAGTAAGATATGATTTATAATTGGTTTAATTTTTCAATAAATTTGAATTTAGTTTAGTAAAATAATTTTATTAAAATATTATTAAGATACCTCAATGATTTTTTAACTGATGGAGATGGAGATGCTCTAACAGCAGTTACTATGTAAGCTGACAATAAGTCAATAACATCCGTTACAAAGTTTTCAAACCCACCGGTTCTTGAACCATAACCGAAACAAACCAAAGAAAAACCAAAAGCAACACATCTCTTTCTCTAAACCATAACCGGTTTATAAAAGCCTTCTTAAAGAGACAAAACACACATTTCGTCTTCAATTATTTCTATTTTTTGTTTTATCGAAAAAAAAAAAAAATGAAGAGCAACAACACAAACACTAATCTAATTCTCTTCCACCACCACTCTCCACTAACTTCAAAATCAGCCTCCACCGTCGCCGCCGCGAATCACCACCGTCTCTTATTCATCTTCTTCCTCTCTTTCTTCACTCTCCTCTTCTCTTTCTCTCTCTTCTCCTCCTCAATCCACTCCACCACAACCTCTAACTCTCTCTCCTCATCTCCCTCCTCTCTTCCACCACCAGTCCTCGCCGCACTTCTCCACTACACTTCCTCATCACCACCAAACACATCAATGTCCTTCTCTGAACTCTCCACCATCTCCTCCATCATTCACTCTCATGGCCCAACTTGTAACCTCTTAATCTTTGGACTAACTCACGAATCTCTTCTCTGGAGATCTATAAATTTCCAAGGCCGTACTGTTTTCGTTGATGAGAGTCCTTACTCTGTTTCTAAGTTCGAACAGAGTAACCCTGGAGTTGAAGCTTACGAGGTTGTTTACTCAACTAAAGTATCTCAAGCTTGGAAGCTTCTTGGTTATTACAAGACCCGACCCGAATGTCGACCCGTTCAGAATCTTTTGTTCTCTGATTGTAAATTAGGTATTAACGATTTGCCTAATTTTGTTTATGAGATTGATTGGGATGTGATTTTGATTGATGGGCCTCGTGGGTATGCTTCTGATTCTCCGGGAAGGATGGCTCCGATCTTTACTTCGGCGGTTTTAGCAAAAAGTAAAGTTTTTGGGACGAAGACGAAGAAGAAGACGAAGACTGATGTATTTGTACATGAGTTTGGGAGAAAGATTGAGAGAGTTTATAGTGAAGAGTTTCTATGTGAAGAGAATTTGATTGAAGTCGTCGGAGATTTAGGGCATTTTGTTGTGGCGGCGGCGGAGGAAAGAGAGAGTTTTGGTAATGGGTTTTGTCGGAATTCGACGAGATTGTCGGAGAGTTTTACGGCGGTGAGTGGTGGCGATGAAGAAAAAGTTGGTGTTGATGATGAGTGAAAGTGGGTTTGGTTTTTTACTTTTGGTGGCTCTTTTGTAATTAAATTTAGCTTTTGAGGTCTTATTTTGTTTTTTTATTAGTCTTTTCATTTGTCTTTTGAATTTAGGAGAACGGTTACACTTAAGATGTAACTAAATTCCAAAGAAAACAAATGTCACTTTATTGATGAAAAACATAAAAACTTGTGATAAATTTTCACTTCGTATTAAATTGGGAAAGTAACTGAGAATGTAGTAGACCAATTTTGGACTTATATATGCCTGGATTTGTAAAATTTTGAAAATATTACTTCTCTAGTCTAGTTACCATTTAATGTTAGTCTTGACTCTTGAATTCCCATTTTACTTTTCTAAAACTAATCTGATATTCACTAGACGTGCGACTTTGGACCGAATGGTTCGATTCGGTTTTAGATGACAATTCGTATAATTTGGTTAAGAGGCAAGGTTAGTGAATATAGCTGAACAAAATTATGATTTGGATCAGTATGGTTATCGGTAAATTTGGTACGGTTATGTCTCTAAAATCCTTACAAAAACTTCGTTCCGTTCAGTTTGGTAAACGGTTTGGTTCGGATAGAGATTTAAAAGTTTGGTTCGGATAGAGATATATAAAATTCGTGTAATTTAATAATTTCGGTTAATGTTGGTTAAAAAAGTTACAAAAATAAAAACAAAAAGGTTTATCGGTCGGTTCCATGAACTGAACCGATCCTATTTCAAAAAGTTGTCGATCACTTCACTCTTATTAACCGGTTCCAAGCCGAAACTTTCAAATCTCGGTTCGGTTCGGTTCAGAAAAAATGGTTTGGTTTTTCATCCCATGCCTAATATTACTGCTCTACTTTCATTTGTGACTTGTGAGGTTAAAAAGAAAATTTGTTTTGGCTCTTTTGTTACTCCTTTTTGCTTTTTGAGTCAAATTATTTAATTTAGATTGGAATAATTTCATTTTAAAATGGTCTAAGAATGTGTCGGTGGTGACAGAAGTCCCTGGGAAAGCGGGACTTATCTCGCAATGTGGCTTCCCCTTTTCCAGCTCTATCACATACATTTAGCACTTTCAATTTTGTTAACTTTAATTTCTAGAAACACTTAAAAACATATTTATTTGTTTCGTCCCATACACAGTTACAAGTGACAACTAATCATGTTTCGATTTATAAATACGATGTCTGAGTAGATTTGAGTTCCATTTATGTTTTCCGGTTATATGAACAAAATTGAATGCTACTAGTTGATGGTGGATCCATATACTATTATTATTGGGACACAACTTGAAGTAATGTTATACAAACCACCTAAAAGTAACTTGATACCAAAAAGAAGAAAAAAAGTAATTAAAATTGAGTTAAAGAGCCAAGAATAAAGATCAATAAAAAACTGAAAAATGTCAAACAAAGAGGTCTTAGGCAAAAAAAAAATTAGGAGAGATTTTTTTTTTTGACGATCAAGAGATTTTTTTGTAGTATTACTATAAGGATTTCGGGAACATATAGACGTTCGCGAGGCTACTAGTTTGCTTCTGCAAACCGTTACACTTCTCTAGTATGTCTTTTCTTTGCCCTTGATCTTGGAGAGACGGCATGGGTTGGTTTTGTTCCGTGTATTGAGTTTAGTGATGTCCATATCGAGTTTAGGGAATGGAAACCGAACTACCATTTGGTTCTGTCCAAAAAAATAGCTTTTTTAAAAACAACTTATTTCTAAAGAATTGAAAAGTTTAGGTGTGTTTTGTTGTGCCTTGTCTCATGGTGTCAATTTCGCATGGTTTGTTTTGTTAGTTCTTCAAACGTTTAGTAGATCTTTGAATCCGTTTGATACATTAAGGTCATCTCTTACGGATCAAAAACCTAAGTTTCTGTCATAATTGGTGATATCTAATAGATAAAATTATCTCCAACAATATATAATTTATAATATTTTATATAATATTCAATCCAAAATTTGAAAAAAATAACAAAAAAATTGTTAATGATTTTTATTATTGTGCATGACGGAATAATATTAAAGGTTCATAAATATTCCAACATTTATTTGAGATAGTAAACATGTATTTAGAAGAATTTTGGACAACACCTAAATTAATGCAATTGATGTCAACAAAAAAAATGTAATCTCAAACTTTTAAAAAATAAATTTATTATCTTGGTGGACAACAACACCTTCTATAAAATAATGAAGTACATCAAAAGTAAACAATTTAGTGTATTAATGTTAACAAGGTGATACCAAAATGGGCTTTCTTCAAGCTAGTGCTAACGGAGAATCACCTCTAAAGTAACGTATAAGTTATGAGCTAAGTTATTGAGAACAAGGAAACGTGTGCAGATAAGAACCGAAGAACCTTCTTCAAGAATATACTATTGGATCCGATGTCTCCGACGAGGCTCGTGGCTCAAGAACAAGTCTCAAATCTTAAAGGTTGGTCTAGGTGCCACTAGCTTTCTTTATCACGTGGTGCACGTGACTAGTAAGTATATGTAATGAACCATAACGATTAAAGAAGAGCTAAGAAAGTGAGTGAGGGAGATAGGTGTCGGTGACAGTGAGAGTGAGGGTGCATTTTATGGTCTGTGCTCTGGAATGTAGTGGATCATTCGTTTTCGTAAGATATGTGTTATGGGCCGTATATGACCCACTAGGTTTCTTTCGAGTTGTAATGACTTTTTCTTGGGTTTAACACGAGTTGAAATCATTTAGCGGTATGTACATATGAGGAAAAAAAGATAGGTTTTTAAAAAACCTATAATAATATACACGATATACATTTTTCTTTTTCTTTAAAAACATAACAATTAGAAATGAATACTATAATAATATGTCGATGAAAAAAAAACTATTATAATATGTATCTACAATATTTTTCTACGAAAATATCTAACACTATCATAAATTTTTATATAGTAGTTATAGTCCATGCTAAAATGCGTAAAAAATATTTTGATTTAAAAGTAAAGACTATAAAGAAAATCCAAACAAAGAAACCTAGATTACTTTTCATATATATTGCAGAATTAACTTCTAAATTTCATAGAACATGGAGAGTTTGTAGAATAAATAATCTAAATTTCATAGAAAAGGCACAATCGTTGCATCGAGAAAAGAGTTCTCTCTCTTGCTTGAAGGTGATTCCTTAGATCTACTCTTTTCCTTCTATTGCTTGATCTTATACGCAGGTCATGGTTTTGCAAAGGACATCCAAGAGTGAGCATGCCTTTTTTCGCTTTCAACAGATGTGTGGTGCTCTCTTAATTGGCGTAGCTATGGTCTCGGTAGAGAACGCCAGTGAGGTGATTGGAGTCTAAGATGCCGATCGCGGATTCTGGTTTTAGATGGGCTTGAGTGAGCCGTCGGCCTCTGTAACTGCCGCGATTTTGTATCCACCAGACCGGTCTGATTGGATCCTGCCCGGGGAAAATCGGAGAGGATTAGATTTGGGAGAGAGGGATTTGGTATAAGTTTCTTAGCTTGCTTGGTCGGGATCTGAGAACGTCGATGTCAGATGTTGGTTGTTGTGCATTATGGGAGCTCCGTAGTGGGTTAGATAGCTCCTCGGAAATGAATCGACGATAGAAATCGGGTTCTTCCGTTGTTGGTTTCGATCCTCTGATGCTTCCGCAAAGCCTTGGAGCTTGAATCTCGTTGGAATTAATGATGTGATACTCTGCTTCCGATGATACAACATGATCTGAGCTTTTTTCCTATTTTTGGCTATATTTTCCGATTTACCTCTTTTTGTAGATTGACTATGTAAAGGTCCAGACCCAAACCATTTTGGAAAGTTAATGAATCATTAAAAAAAAAACCGTAGAAAATGTATAATATATAGAATACACATCCTAAATTTCAGAAAGTGTATTCTAGATTTCGTAAATCAAATTTATCTATCTAAAATAGTAAAATAAACGACATCTTTTTTAAATTATAGTATCTTCATGTCTTCTACATCATTTTCTGCTAATTGTGGTTAAATTTTCTTTGAAAAAATTAGATAAATCTAATATTTATCTAATGAAAGGGATAATTTTAAAATAGTTGACATTTGTTGGTACAATACATAGTGGACAAATGTTTTAATAATCCTTTATTTCTAACTAGATCGTTACCCGTGCTATACAGCACGGGATTTAATATTTTGTATGAATCAAATTGTATATTTTGTTTGAAGAATTAAATAATAATATAATATAATAGTATAAAAGGAAATATATCATGATGTTTTATTTTTATTACTACTGTATTTAGATATAATGTTGTATATTTCATTTGACGATGATTGTATATTTTGTTTGTAGAACTAAATAATAATATAGATAATAAATTTTAAATCTATATTCCATATCATATTGGATTATTTATTATAGGAATTAAATGTTGTTTAATCTAACTTGGTTGAAAAACATGACTCGGTAATAAAGAAAAAGAGAATATTATATTGTATATAAAATATATTTAGCTGCATTAAAATTCTATTTTTGTCTATATGAGATTAACAATTTATTTTGTTTAATTAGATATTCATAATTGCATTGTGTCATTGAGGATAAAAACAAAATTTGTATTGTGTTGAAGTTTTTACGTGGCTATATTGGGTTTTGTTTGCTCAGTTCTAACTGTATTTGGCCCAGTATCATGTTGTTTTTAAAAAACCACATAAATTCAATTATTTGGCCCAGTATCACCAGATTTTACCCCGCGGTATACCGCGGGTCGATTTATTTAACTTAAAAATTAAATTTTTATTTGTATTTTTTAATATTGTTTATTTTTTTAAATATTTAAGATTATTTTGATTATTAATTTTAAGATTTTACCCTTGATATATATACCGTCCCGTATTAATATAAATTTTAATCCGTTCCACCATATAACTCCGTTCCGTGAAATTAAACATCATTTTGTTATTTTTCTTTTTAATAATACTTTTATAATTTGAGTCAATTTTTTTTTAAAATGTTTTCCATAATATATATATTTTTTAATTTTATAGAGTTCAAATATTATTAATATTATACTTTTAATAGAATTTAAATATCATAAATACTTTAAACGTTTAATGTGTAGTATCTATGCATAATATATTGATAATATTTTTACATGTTTACTCTGTAAAAAAGATAATAGTAATGGATCATGCGAAAAGTAATTATACAAATTAAACGTTAGTAAATAAAAATGATTCACAATTTGGTTAACGTAAATCTTAGTACTAAGTATTTAAGTTTTTTTTTTTTTTTTTTGAACATAATTTTTTTTTTTATACATATATTTTCGTTATGTTAAATTCATAAGAGACAAAACAAAAACTTTAAAAGAAAAGATAAAGAGATAAATATAGACATGTAAAATGAAATGAAAGATATTCAATACAGCTTGTTGCGTTACACTTAAATAGTACATATAGATATCAAAGTTCTATTCAGTGTAATTTGATTGTTTAATCTTGTTCTTTGAATCTCCTCACATTTTGTCTTTCTCTCTTTTATCTTAGTGAAACCTAGGGTATAGAAGAAAAAAAAAGAAGCAAATATTGAGATTTTTTTAATTTTAAAAAACCCATAAAAATGGTTAGTCTTAAATCTAAATTTAGTATCACCTAATCACCGTTACTGAAAAATGATTGTTAGTATGATTCTCTGATTCTTGTTTGACGAAACTTTAGCAACTCAAATCGTTTGTCATAGTCCTTTCTTCACTCAGAGCTGAATCTTGGAACCCTACAATCACAAAAATTAAGTAGTTAGATTGTAATTGAAGAACAACATTAAAATAACTAAACCGCAAAGAGATGATGAAATTATCTATATTTATGTATTTATATATATTATATTACATGTTATATACGTTAATATGTTTATAAACAAAACAAAAGACTTAAAGTGCTTCATCAGTTAAAATCATATCGATGGCTTAAGTCTTTAAAATAAGTGAACTCAAAAGGAACATCTATTTTAATTGTTTTGGAGGAAGATGGTTTTATGAAACTTTGAGGTAATGTGTTCGTTCTAAACTCCTTTTTATAGACACATATAATCGGTTTGATAAGAAAGAATCTTATTAATATCTTAAGTATATTTTGTTATGTTATTTGTGAGAGTAGGGAAATTTCTCTTTAATACGAAGATTTGATACGTGAAAATAGGAGATTTAATTTAACTATAAGAAAAATCCAAAATATAGTTACTAAAGTGATCGATTATAATTTTTGTTTTTTTTGAAAAAATGTTTTGATTAATTTTAAAAACAGAAACGTAAAGCTAATTTAAAAAATTTCTGCAATAAATATTATTTTGAAATTTATTAATTTGGTTAAGTGTTTAAATTTCCTAAAATCTTGGTAATAGTTATAGAAGATTTCGGTCTCATTTACTTACCCGATTTGGATACATAATAATATAGTTAATAATAAATAATTCCATATAATGATTTTCGAATTAATTGCGTATGACTGACCGTCGAGATTGAAGATTAAAAACCGAATTAAGATTTAAACGGCCACGATTAAATGTAGGGATTGTTGAGATATTTTAAAGAAATTGAATTGAATATGGATGTAATTGTGGCAAGTATTAGTTATGATTAATATATTAGGTTAAGATTTAACTGAATATTTGTTCTTATTGATTATGAAATCTATCTCAATAACCACTTACCTAATTAGTTGATATTATTGTTTCAGAAATCTTTTTCAATAATCACTTACCTAATTAGTTGATATTATTGTTTAGGTAATATTTGAAAACCCGTTTAAATGACTCATTGACCCGCGAGATTAAGAAGTGGCTCATAACTTTAATGACGTGGATTAATTATGTTTATGATTAGAGATTTGAAATGGCATATAATGTAATTTCTTACACTTCTCAATGTTACAACTTATTGATGTACTTCCCAATCTAAAAGCACATAAATTCAATTATTTTTATAATATTTAATTATATTTTTATTTAATATTAATTTTTATTCAAGGGTTTATTTTATTAATTTAAGATGCAAATCTTGACGAAATCTTAAAAATAAATGATAATTAAATTAAAATGATGATTTGTTATTATTTGAATTTTGAAATTTAAAAATAAATGATGATTCTTTATTATTAAATTACATTAAATTGGATTATCATTTCTGGAAATTTCTATTAATATATTATCAAATTTAATTAGTTTACATATATACAATTTCGTTTTTTCTTCTATATATACTAATCATAATTAATTAGTATAGTTTTGTTAAAGAAATATTTTAAAATCTAAACTAAATTTCGTTGTATGATTAAAAATTATTTGTATCTAAATAAAATCCATGTTTGTTAGATTCGTGATTGAGCTCCTAAATATTAGGTAATCTTTTTAATATCTTTAAACCCATTTGACCCATTGACCCATTTTTAATAAATTGGTTAATATTAGTGACATGGAATTAAAATAATTATGATTAAAGACCTCTAATGGCATATATTGTAATTTTTTATCAATCCTTATCCTTTTATAAATTGGATTGATATAAAATATTTTCAATGATATATCATTTTCATTAACATTTTCAATGACATTTTTTTATAAGATGTTCGAATAATGGATTACTATATAACATTTTGAATAACATTTTCAATAACATTTTCGAATAATATATTAGTATATTATTATATAACATTTTTATGTATTATATAACATTTTTATGTATTATATAATCTCGACTATTGATTAGTATATAACATTTTCGAATTATATTAATTATGTATTATATAAACAAAATCTTTTAATATCTTTAAACCCGTTGACCCGTTGACCCGTTTATATATATTAGTGACATGGAATAAATTTATGATTAGAATTATATAATGGCATTTATTGTAATTTCTTACAAAATCTAAGTTATGATCCTTAGGATGTACTTCCCAAATATTAGTATAAGATTTCCCCTTGGGTTTGTTACCTCACTAGGTCTTTCCATCCTTAGTATAACACACCCATAATTCTTTTTAATTTTTTAGTAGTTTATATAAACACCACGAATTCATTCTATTTATTAACCCATTGTTAGCTTGACAAAAAAAAAAAATAACCATTCTTTTTTTCTTGACCCGAATTAGCCTATCCAATAATTGAATTTAATCCTCACGACTAAATAACTCAACTTAACAAGATTCAGGAACAGAAGGATCAGGGGTCCGGAACAAACAGAAGACTGCCACTTCACATGTTGTTATCAAACAAGACAGCGCCGCTGCGGTTAATATACTAGTCTGGTCTAGAAGAAATTCAAATCCGAAACAAACAGGTAAAACAAAGAGCTTGAATTAACCACGAGTTCATCCTCCACGCATATGGGCACCGAGTTCACCAAACTGATCATCAGCTTCTACGGTGTCATCTGAGAGACGGACTGCATCAAGCTTCTGCTTCAGGATATCTATCGCATTTAGCACCAGCTGGGAAGCCTTCACTGCACCTGTGGATTCAACAGTGAATATAAAACTATCATCTTTCGGATGGATCTCAATGAGTCCCGGTTTCCCCATTGCTTCAGCTTTCTTGATCACTTCTTCATCGTAAGTGTATGCTTCAGGATCAACCACCACAACCTAAGAAACAAAGTATCATAATTACAATTTGTACCTTACAATTTTGATGATTCAAACAATAGACTGCAACAGAAATGGCATACCAAATTCCAACAATAAATTACTGTAACTGTTATAATCATAAACAATGTTCTCTCGCAGTTTCAGTTGTGTTGTGGCGAGTCAAAGTGGACACTGAACCACTAACATGAAATATCAAACAAAAATTCAACTGGTACAGAGGTACTCCAAGTATATCCTCTCCTTTCTCTATCCCCTTACCCATCTATTCGAATGGTGATTCATATAATTTGCAGTGATTAGACATAGAAAGATGTTTCAATTTGGTACCAAAACCAAAAGTCTAACAGTTATTTGATTGATTCGGATGACTGAAGTAATTCTCCTAAAGAGCTAAGTAGTGCTGTCTAACAGAGAGAGAAGCACAGAAATGAGCTAAACGCACTAACCACCTAAAGAAAATTCATACACACATATCATAAATATATCAAAGCATGGTAGTCTATAAAGTAGTACAATCATAGTGAAGTCTCAAATCTATAAACTAACCTGTCTGGTGACTGGGTCAATGCCAAACACTTTGGTTGGACTGCTCTCAATCAAGTCGATTTTTTCCTCATCTGACAAAGTATCCATCATATCTTCATTGATAATAATGTCAGGCTCATACATAAACGTAACAGTAGCTGCAGGAGACCATTTCGCATGATCTTTCCCAATCCCTTTCCTCGCTATCGCCCTAAGCTTCAACTCTTGTCCCCGACGCAGTTTCACAATGATGATTCCCCTGAAACCAAAACAAAAACAGTCATTAACAAAGACTAAGCAAGCAAAACCCACACAACTACCAAACCAAAAGATCAAACAACCAAGAGCAATAAGAGTCATGCAAAGGGCCATCAAAACCAGCTTAAAAATGACAACTTTTGTTTAGCATTGTCTAATCTCTGAAGTTTAGCAGATTCATAAAGACTAAGAACCAACGTAACAATCTATAATCAGCAGATAAACTAGAACCAATGATGAAAAGTACATACTTTTGCTCGCTTGAATCAGAAGCCGACGAGTCAATAGTGAAATCAACCGGAGTAACAGTAGGATCAGCACTGTACAAATCCCTACTAGTAACATCTAGGGTTTGGTCAGTAACACACTTAGCACTAAGCCGAAACTCAACAGAGCAAAACTCGCACTGTCCATCTCCATCACAAGCATCACAATCTCGAGAGAACCGCATGCTCATAGCACGCTCGCTAGTGAGAGGAATGAGACCTAATCGATGAGCAATGAACTCGTCGTTGAGAACTGAGGAATTAACCTCGATTTCGACGAGATCTATTGCGACTGTTGGGACTTCGGAGATCATAACGCGACGGAGAGCGTTGGCCATGGATACGTCGGTTTCACGAAGCTCGAACTTGGCGTAGTCATCTTTAAGCTCACGGATCGTGATCTTTGGGAATCTTTGGTAAGTGGCACCGTCCATGTCAAAAGCTGCTCGGTGGTTTCTGACGAGACTTGAGTTTTATTAGGGTTTTAGGGTTAATGAATTTTCAATTTCTTCGCCGGAGAAGAAGAAGAATTTAGGAGAAAGTGATGAAGATATAACATATAGAGCAGTGGTTTAAGTTGGGCCTATATGGGCCTTTTTATTATTTTATGGGCTTTTTTCAGGTCTCTCTTAACAATTTTTGGGAATGGTTCAAAATGTCTGTCTACAATGGATTTTCATGATTATATGAACCAACACCAATTCAGATTTGATGTTGTGACAGAGAGAGTTTTGTCGGGTGAGAGTGAGGTTAGCTGGTTAGTGTCTAAACATTTAGGTTATATACTTAGGTTAAAATGTTTACTTATCCGATCGGAATCACCGAACAAAAAAACCAAACATCAATTGAAACCCTTCTGATCGGATTGTGTCTAATAACATAACCTTAACTGAAACCAATAATTATCGGTTCGGATCGGGCCGAAAAATCCGGTTCAGATTTTAATAGCAGGACTACTCTGTGTGGTTGGAAAAAGAATCAAAACTTCAACTCTTTGACAGGACTGGTCCTTAGATTTTGGTGGCCTAAAGCATTACTTAAATTATGTAAATTTTTATATAAAAACTAATATTAGAAAAATTATCATTAAATACATACATATATATATATATATATATATATATATATATATATATAACATTAGAAAAAATCACTGAATTTCTAAGAATATCAAAATATTTAGAAATTTTGTTGATTAAAAAAAAGAACTAAACTAAATTTTTTTTTTATCAACAGAAACAGAAAAAATGTAAAATGAAATACTGAAACTCTGCTCATGTTACTCATTACTAAAATACATAACCAACTCACCAAAACCAAACATGTTGAACATGTGGCCCCAAAATTTTTGGTTATTATATTTGGTGGCCTAAAACAGATGCTTTAGCTGTTTTATGAGCGGACCGGGTCTGCTCTTTGAACACCCAATAATTTATAAAATCCAAATTTATAAAGGTTATTAAAAGGTGATAAAGAGATCATAAATGATTTAATAACACTTACAAAACATTTTCAATATGCTCAGATGGGGAAGGAAATGAGGAGACAAGAAACAAATTGAAAAGTATTGTAACGGCGTCAATGGCATCGTTGACGATCATAACGGAGACGGTGAGAAATTGGAAAAGAATAATAGTTCGTGTTTGTTTTGTCAACTATAAAATAGTTTTAAGTTTTTTTTCGAAAAAAGTTTAGTTTTATTTATGGCAAATATTAAATAGTTTGGGTTTTTTGTTGGAATTTACGAGTTAACACTTAACATAAACAGATTTAGAGGGATCATATAAATTATAAAGGCCAAAAAGAGCCCAAACCAGTTAAGCAAAATGGACATTGGAGCATCACATGATATTTGTTTTCTTTTGTGCAGCACATCTCGGCATTCATGCATCATGGTAAGTCTCTTCTTTGCATTTTGCTAATGCTCTCGGCTCTCCACAATAAATTTTGAATCTTAGATAATATCTTAACTTACCATATCGCTCAAGTCCCATACTGCTTCAATTTTAGTACTTGTTACCTCACCACATCTTTCCATCACTTAGGCTCTGTTCTTTTTCCAAACGATTCGACTAGATCCAGCGACCAAAAAAACAGTTGCTTAACACACAATTACGTGGAGTCTATAGAGAGTTGTGTGGAGAGGAGTCGCTTGATGCTAATAACAGCGACGTATAAGGCATATACACGTGTCGCTAAAAATAACAGCGACTCAACATCTTCACTATTGACGGCATCCATATTGAGCAACTGTTTTTCTTAGGAAAAAAGATAGTCAGCTACACGAAGTATAACAGAATACATGGCTACACATGCCAAGTTTAAAAATGTACAACCAACTACACGAACTAAATGTATTGCATGCCCACATATACCAACTATATGACGACATGTAGTCAACATCACGAACATTTTATTCCGGTACACTAATCATCAAAATCCGGCATTGACCATCGTTGACCGGTATTAACCAACAAAAATATTCAAAAATTTATATTTTTATTTATTTTAAATGTTTTTAAAAAGAATTATTCTATAGAATCGGTTATGGTGTTGTATAATAATAATAAAAAAAAAACACATTCTATATTTTTAAAATATATATATTTTGTATGATAATAATAATTAGTTAATTTTTTCAATTTCAAAACTAAACTAAAAGCGAAATAAATAAAATTCTATTACAAAAAATTGAGTATATGAATTTTTAGTCTAAATTTTGCATGGTAAAAAAATATAAAGTTTTTTGCTAAAATCAAAATCATAATACATAAAAAAAGATATATAGAAAATTTTATATACTCTTTAGTCTAAATTTAATATATTGTTAAATTTTTGTAATTAAAATTATTAAAATAAATTCTCGTAATAACACGTAAACAACAAAAAAATTCGCAATGTTTCTTAATAATATAGAGAAAATAGAAAATCTAATGATATTGATTTTAGCAAAAGCATTTGTAAAATAAGAAGTTAATGTTTTTTATTGACAATGTACAAATAAGTAATTCGCTTAATTATTTTTATTTCACTTTTATTTTAGTTTTTAAATTGAAAAAACTAACTAATTATAATAATCAATATATTAAATATATATACAAAATATCTTTATGTTGAATTTAATATGTATTAGTTTTGTTTTTAATATTAAAATAAATAAAAATAATTTTTTTGCATTTTTTTATTGGTCAATGCCGGTCAACGATGGTCAACGCCGGATTTTGACGATTGGTGTACCGGAATAAGATATTCGTGATGTTGACTACATGTCGTCGTATAGTTGGTATATGTGCGCATGCAATACATTTAGTTCGTGTAGTTAGTTGTACATTTCTAAACTTGGCATGTGTAGCCATGTATTCCGTTATACTTCGTGTAGCTGAATATCTTTTTTCCTTTTTCTTATCTTCGTCATATTTTTTGCCATCGTCAGAGTCGCTGTCGCAGTCATTAACAAACAAACAGGCCCTTACTCAAAATGAATAACCATTATTTCACTTCTTCTTCTTCCACGGATTTAGCCTGTTAATTAACACATTCCGTTTTCCGTGCTTTTCCCGTTACGACTAACACTAACCCAAATTATAACAAGATCTTCATATGTTGTTATCAAATAAGAAAGTGCCCCTACAATTATAATAAGATCTTCACATGTTGTTATCGAATAAGACAGTGCCCCTACAATTAATATATTAGTCTGATCTTCACATGTTGTTATCGAATTAGCCACGAGTTCATCCACGCATATGGGCACCGAGTTCACCAAACTGATCATCGGCTTCTACAGTGTCATCCGAGAGACGGATTGCATCAAGCTTCTGCTTCAGGATGTCTATGGCATTTAGTACCAGCTGTGAAGCCTTCAGTGCACCTGTGGATTCAACAGTGAATACAAAACTATCATGTTTCGGATAGATCTCAATGAGCCCCGGTTTCCCCATTGCTTCAGCTTTCTTGATCACTTCTTCATCGTAAGTGTATGCTTCAGGATCAACCACCACAACCTAAGAAACAAAGTATCATAATTACAATTGTGATGATTCAAACAATACACTGCAAAAGAAACTCACAGAAATGAGCTAAACGCACTAACCACCTAAAGAAAATTCATACATCCACATCACATATATATATATAGTACACTCATATTGAAGTCTCAAAGCTATAAACTTGTATAGATATTCTTCTTACAGAACATCGAAATTAACCTGTCTGGTGACTGGGTCAATGCCAAAAACTTTGGTAGGACTGCTCTCAATCAAGTCTATTTTCTCCTCGTCTGTCAAAGTGTTCATCATGTCTTCATTGATAATTATGTCAGGCTCATTCATATACGTAACAGTAGCTGCAGGAGACCATTTTGCATGATCTTTCCCAATTCCTTTCCTCGCTATCGCCTTAAGCTTCAACTCTTGTCCCCTGCGCAGTTTCACAATGGTAATTCCCCTGAAACCAAAACAAAAAACAGTCAAGAAACTACAGAAAACAGCCACAGAACTACTAAAGTAAAAGATCAAACAACCAAGAACAAGAAGACTCATGCAAAGGGCATCAAAAGGAAGTATTTTTCATCCTCTGATTGCTTAAAGATGTCAAATTTCCAATCGAATCATAAAGAACAAATAATCACGACATTTCCAATGATGAAAAGGACATACTTTTGCTCGCTTGAATCAGAAGCCGACGAGTCAATAGTGAAATCAACCGGAGTAACAGTAGGATCAGCACTGTAGAGATCTCTACTAGTAACATCTAGGGTTTGGTCAGTAACACACTTAGCACTAAGAGGAAACACAACAGAGCAAAACTCGCATTGTCCTTCTCCATCACAAGCATCACAATCTTGACAGAACCGCATGCTCATAGCACGCTCGCTAGTGAGAGGGATGAGACCAAGTCGTTGAGCAATGAACTCGTCGTTGAGAACAGAGGAATTAACCTCGATGTTGACGAGATCTATTGCGACGGTGGGGACTTCGGAGATCATTACGCGACGGAGAGCGTTGGCCATTGAAACGTCGGTTTCACGGAGCTCAAATTTGGCGTAGTCATCTTTAAGCTCACGGATCTTCACCTTTGGGAATCTTTGGTAAGTGGCACCGTCCATTTCAAAAGCTGCTCGGTTGTTTCTGACGACTCTGGAGATTTATTGTAATGAATTTTCAGTTTCTTCCCGGTGAAGAAGAAGAAGAAGAGGAGAAACCAAAGTGAGTGGAAGTGAAAAAGATATAAAAACAACTATAGTAGTTTAAGTTGGGCCCATCTATGGGCCTGCTTTATTATTTTCTGGGCTTTTTAAGGAAATTTATGCTCTTTTAACAACTCGAATAGGCCAACATTGACCACACTAGGTGCCACCGCGGTAGCAAGAGAAGCCAGGCAATGACAATTGAGAGGTTGTCACTGAACATTTATAGTTTACACGGGAAGAGAGGTCCAATGGCAAGGCCGTACTTTTGTTGAACTTTTAAAGTAAAAGAGTGTTTTGTTGAATTTTTGAAAGTAGATAACACAATGGGGCATAGACTTTTGGAAGTGTTAAAAGAAGCATTACAATCTTTTAATCAAGATATAGATAACATGCAAGGTCAAGGTTATGATAATAGATCTAATATGAAAGGAAGCCAACAAGGTGTACAAAATAAAACTTTTGGATATAAATCCTATTATACACCATGTGCTTGTCATAGTCTTAATTTGGTTTATGTGATATTGGAAATAATTCTATAAAGGTAAAAGGTTTTTTTGGAGTTGTGCAACGCTTATATTCTTTGTTTGCTAATTCAATAAAGAGGTGTAATATTTTGAGGAAGAATGTGAAAAATTTAACGATTAAACAATTACCAATAACAAGATGGAAAGTCATGTTGAAGTATTAAAGCAATAAAATTTCAAATTGTGATAATGATCCAATGATTCAAAGTGAAGCTAAATCTCTAGTAATGAATGAGCTTAGTAGTTTTGAATTTTTGTTATCAACTATTATTTGATTTGATATATTGTATGTGGTGAATATTGTTTTTTTTTTTTTTGGGCAAACTGATTTTATTAAAGGAACAGGTAGAAAGTCTTACACTCCAGAAATGGAGGAACTTGACAAAGCCAAAAGGGCTGCCTTAGCAAGGAAATCAGCTCTAACATTAGCTGCCCTTGGAACATAAACAAAAGAGATAGATGCAAAGGAGTTACAGAGCAAAGTGATATCGTGAAGAATCCCTTTTAACTCTGTCGTGATTTCCTTTGCGTTGATAAGTGTAACAAGAACTTGAGAGTCCGAGAACACCGTTAAATCGGCAATGTCCGGCTGAGCGGCTGCCTTTAAAATCGCACTGCGCATTGCGAGTGCTTCCGCAACAAGGGTTGAGGCGACATATTGTATGTGGTGAATATTGTTAATAAGAAGATACAATGAAAAAAAAAATGCAAATTGATGTGGCAATGAAAGAGATTAGTGGATTAATTTATTATTTTAAAAATAGAGAAAATGGATTTGTTGATGCTATGGCAAAAGCTAAGGAAATTGCTAATGAAATTCGTATTGAACCTATATTTATTCAAAAAAGAGTTCTTCGTAGGAAAAGACAATTTGATGAATTTATAGGTAATGAAAAATTATTATCCGTAGAAGAAACTTTTAGGATTCAATATTTTATATACATTATAGATCATTCTATAATAAGAGGTTTGAGCAATATCAATCCTATGAACATATATTTGGTTTTTTTTTGTTTGATTCTACTAGATTGAAAATGTGTGATGATGTGAATTTAAAGTCTCATTGTAGTTATTTAGAAAATAGTTTGAAAAGTGGAAATTTACTAGACATTGATGGAGATGAACTTTTTCTTGAGCTAAAATTTTAAGGAGCTTTTGCCAAATGAAAATATGGGAGCAAGTGATGTGTTAAATTATCTTGTACAATCTGATAGTTTCCCATATACTATGATTGCATATAGAATTTTACTAACGGTTCCAATTACTGTTGCTACTGCAGAAAGGAGTTTGTTTAAACTCAAGCTATTGAAGTCATATTTAATGACATCCATGTTGCAAGAGTGATTAATATTTTGGAAGAATTAGATGTAGAAATATTGATTGATGATTTTGCTTCAGATCATTAAGATAGAATGGCATTATTCACTCAGCCAATGTACTTTAGTTTCCTTTATCCGATTGTTTTGTAAAAATTAGCCATTTTTTCGTTATCGCACCAGGTCTCGCCGACGAGTGAGCGAGACCTGTCTCGATCGTAGGTGACAGTGAGATCATAAATGTAAACAAAGACGATGAAGATTGATAGACAATTTCTTTTAGCTCAGGCGCGGCTATGGTTTTGTGATAATGTGTAATGAACAAAGAGGATTCAAGAATTGTTCTCTTTGTTATTGATATATTCCACTAGATACAAGATATGTACATGAATACAATATTAAGGTTTTGGTTAGATACTAAGTAATCTAGAATCTTTTAGAATGTACTAATGAACATCGATATAACAATTATATTCTTCATAACACTTTATTCTTTATGATCCATTGCGATTTTTACCATTTTTCCTAAGTGCTTATTTATCGTTTTTGATTATATTTTTGAAATATTTACTCAGATGTTAACCAAAAGTTCGAATATTACTAGAATATCATACATTTTCTAAAAATTACTCATATGTTTTGAGCATTTGTGTAATTACAATTAACACCCTTCATTAGTTTTTTTTTAATTAATAATTTTTAATTCGTTTTTAATTAAAAATAATAAATAAAAATTTGATTATCCATGTCATTAATCCACATCACCATTCTCACACTCCTCAAACTCACGTTATTTCTCCTCTTCTCTTTTTTGTCTCCAAATCCACGAAAAGCTTTTAGATCATTTCTCCTCTTCTCTTTTTTTTGTCTCCAAATCCAAGAAAAACTTTTAGATCTAATAATCTGCAACTAACTTGGGTACAACATTGACAGAGATCTTCAAATTGCAGGATTGGGCTGGATCTTCCTAAACCTCACAGCCACAACGCTTGCCATAGGGTCCCAAATCAAAAGCTTCGTCAGATCTACTCGCAACCACGCTCACGAAAAAAGTCATCAAAAATCAAAACCCAAAACAAAGAGATCTATGGAATTCTACATGATTCGTTACAGGTTTGAGTTGAAATCAAGAATAGCTACTCTTTTACTTTGATTTTACATGTCTCTCGTTTAATCTTCCTCTCAATCGATCTATTTGGAGACATTTCTACTTCTATCTATGTTTTGATTCATACGGTTTAGTCTTCCTCCTATGTATCCCTCAAACATATTTTTACGAATCTTAATTTGATTGTTGTTATTTGACCAATAAATTTCATATTGTCTTCTCCAAAAAAATGTTGCTTTCCGATCTGTATTATAAATCAGCCGTAAAGTGATGTAACTCAGCCGTAACGTGATGTAACTCAGCCGTAACATATAATTTACACAACCTTTCGTCTTCCCTGAATGATAACTCAGCCGTGACATGTAATTTACCGAACCTTTTGTCTTCCCTGAAGCATATAACTCACCCGTAACATATAATTTACACCCATCTATCGTCTTCCCTGGAGAATATAACTCAGCCGTGACATGTAAATTTACCGAACCTTTCGTCTTCCCTTAAACATATAACTCAGCCGTAATGTAATTTTACCGAACCTTTCGTCTTCCCTGGAACATATAACTCAGCTGTGACATGTAAATTGACCGAACTTTTCGTCTTTCCTTAAGCATATAACTCAGCCGTAATGTAATTTTACCGAACCTTTCGTCTTCCCTGGAACATATAACTCAGCCGTGACATGTAAATTGACCGAACCTTTCGTCTTCCCTTAAGCATATAACTCAGCCGTGACATGTAAATTTGCAGCGAAACAATAAGAGACGCAACATTTCCTCTAACTTTATCATCGAGCACCAACTTCACAAGTTTTTCGTGCGTTGTTTTCGCATCTATCTGCACAACTCTGCACCCTCTTTCATCGGTGTTAAATACGTATTTGTGTTTTTATACCCAATTACCGGAACCGGATCAACCATATCGGGAGAAGGATGAAAGAAATTGAAGAAGAATGAGGAAGACGATGAGGAATTGGAAGTTCCGGTGATGTGATAAACTCAGGTGAAGAAGACGAGTTGAAAAAATTTGGCCCTATTTTTTTGTCCTTTGATGATGATGACATGGAATGATGACATGGAATGTTGCATCCACGTCATTTTTTAATTGATGAAGTGGCAAGTAAGCCACCAAACGAAAATGTAAATCAGCTTAATTAAACCAGCCATCAAACAAAACTTTAACTCAGCCGCAACATGAATACTATTACAGTAATTAAAAACGAAAAAACGGCAGCCAAATTCAGCCGTTTACTGTCGTAACTCAACCAAAAATATTTAACTCAGTCGTGTCGTTTAATAAGTCGGCCGTCATTGCATGCTATTCTAGTAATTAATCTTTCGCTACTAAGTCAGCCATAATAAGGCCGAGTTTTCCGTTAATCCAGCTCATTACGGCTGATTTATGATACTCGAACATAAATCAGCCGTAACGTCATCCCATAACTAAGCCGTCTTTGATAACTCAGCCAGCCGGAGAAAGTTAAGTCAGCCGTGTCGAAGCAATAACTCAGCCAAAAATTTGACAAATCAACCATCGGGTGAAAACTCAGCCGTAACTTAGGCTGGGTTATGCTCGAAAGTCAGCCATTTTATCATAACTCAGACAGATTTCAGTAAGTCAGCCGTAACTCCAGGCTGGGTTATACTCGTAAGTCAGCCGTTTGCTCATAACTCAGCCATTTTTCTTAAATCAGCCGCAACATACCGTAACTCAGCCGTCACTGCCGCTATATCGCTCGACGGCTGAGTTCATTAATACACGTCAGCGATTTCTGACGTGGCGACGCGGCTTTGCTGACGTGGCAGTGGCATTCTTTGTAATTACGTTTTTTCCTGTCACGTTTAACAGGGGCACGCTGGGTATAAAAAATATACCCGAAATATGATAGTAATAAAAAAAAGATCTGTATGTTTCTGATAATTTCATATAAAATGTATAACATCTGAGTAAATCTCCCTATATTTTTTTTGTTTCTTTATTTTTTGGTTCATTTCACACTTTTTTCCTTCACTGATTGAGTAAATTATATTTGTTTTTCAGAATTTGAATCAATAATAAAGATTTTATTTACTATATGAACAAACAAAGATGAGATGTGAAATTTAAAAAAATCTTCGAATATCTCTGAATTAATTAAAAGAAATAATTTTGTTGTCAAAATTAGAGGAGAGAAAAAATTTAATATTTCCTATTGGATTCATTAAAACAAAATTGATTTGGATTCAAATATTTCAAATTCCAAAATTATTCTTTCTAATATGCAATTAAACATTTTCTATATATAATTTTAATGGTGATTTAAGTAATTATGTGAATGATTACAAAATTTACTTCTCTTTTAGTAATATAAAGATGTTTGACATCAATTTTTTTTTGGCTATTTCATCATTATACGGCTTATTTCCATCGACATAGTTAAATCTTAACCTAAATCTAAAGGACTTTTCACCATGTTTTATTCTTTTTTTTTATTACAAACTCTACGTCTACTCATTAAAACTTTTCGCTCAATATTTTTTTATTTATGATCGCATCTTTTTACCATGATGTTTTTTAATAATAATAAATCTTAAAAATTGTTTATGAGAGTTATATCTCTTTATTATATTATTCATAAATTTTATATTGATTTATTGTTAATTTTTTTTTGAATAGTAGTCTCAATTCATTGTGATTTTTCGTTTGATATTTTTTTTTTTGAAATATTTTTGTCCGCGACATCGCGGAGGGTCTAAGTCCTAGTTATTTTTAAAAATAGATTTTTAACCAACATTTTTAAGCATAACTGTTTGAACTAGTAATACCGGATCGCAGGTTTTACCATTATCTGATTTACTAGAGATTTTCAAATTTTATCGGATTTAAAATTAGAGGATTGTAGCATTGGAGCCAAACATGATTAGTGACATGGTCAAGAGTTTTACCGGTCCAACTGAGGTCCGGATCGGATCTGAAAACATTTCCCTTGTTAAAAGAAAACTCAGAAGAGGATTGTTCGATGAGAAAAGCGTTTAACAAAAGAAAAAGAAAGAAAAAAGAAGAAGATGAAGAAACGTCGTTTAGATTTTTAAAGACCTTCATGTTTTGTTAAGGAAAAAAGGACATACGGGGACCTTTAAAGTGATTACGTGGCAACTCCCGGAGACTTTCATATAGGAGATTTTTCAGCCTATTAGAGTTTTACATGTATGTGAATATCAAGTTTGACATCTAGAGTCGTATGAATTGCGCGTGTTATGTCGTAGTTAGTCGTTCATGTTAGCAATAATCTACGTATACCGTTTGTGACTTTTAAACTACGTTCATGAACCTATTACATATAAATCAAAATCTGGACCATAATTCTATTGGTCTATTGTTAGAAACTTTAAAAAAAAAAAAAAGTATTGTTAGAAACTTAAAGTTCATATCCCTTTCTGGATGTTTCGTGGCCTACTTGCAATATTTTTGGAATCTTTTGACCATTTGTTAATCGAGTTTAGGACTTTGATCACTAAGGGAAATAGTTTAAACAATTTGGTCACTTATTCACATGATTGTATGTTTTGATTGGGCATGTAAACAGATCTCACTATATATGTAACTACAAATTGTTACATATTATCAATACATTAATTTCAAGTCTTCACAACGTGCCTGACAAATCCCAGTTGTTTGGATTCCAAAATTTCATTTTTTTATAACGCTTGTTAATAATTCACAAGAGCTCTCTTATTGGAAGTTTCTTCGTCAATTCTTAATATATATAATATAAAATCACAATTTGGAGTTAAAGACTTTTCTTCCATTAAACAAAAAGTAGAGTCACGTTTGGAGTTCGTTGATAGTCACAACTTAACAATGACCCATTAGAATATTCAAAGTTTTATCTTATTAATCTGTGATTGGCAATAAAGGTTGTAATCAAGTTATATAAGAGTTTTGAATCATCTTCATAATCATAACTAAAGTCAACATGTATCATATATTTCAGATCTCCGGCGAAGTTATCAAAGCTTTGGGGTTGAAGACGAAAATTCTGATAACAGTCGTCTTTAGTACCTTACTAATTTTGTCTGTAATGTTATTATCATTCTCAAACAACTTCAACAATAAACTCTTTGCTGCTACAATCAACGGTACAAAAATATCATCCATCTTTTGTCATTCATTTTTAACTCAAAGAATCCTCCTTTTGACTTTTTTTTTCTTCATTTTCTTGTAATATAAGCAGAGGAATCCGAAACAACGGGGGATAAACTGATAGGAGGACTTTTAACCGCGGATTTCGATGAAGGTTCTTGTTTGAGTAGGTATCATAAAACTTTCTTGTACCGCAAGCCTTCGCCATACAAGCCTTCAGAATATCTTGTCTCGAAGCTTAGAAGCTATGAGATGCTTCACAAACGTTGCGGTCCAGGGACAAAAGCTTACAAGGAAGCAACAAAGCATCTTAGTCATGATGAGAATTATAATGCAAGCAGATCAGATGGTGAATGCCGATATGTTGTGTGGCTCGCGGATTACGGGCTTGGAAACCGACTACTTACTCTTGCTTCTGTGTTCCTCTACGCTCTCTTGACTGATAGAATCATTCTTGTTGACAACCGGAAGGATATTGGTGATCTCTTATGCGAGCCATTTCCAGGTACTTCATGGTTGCTTCCTCTTGACTTTCCATTGATGAAATATACTTATGGATACAACAAGAATTACCCTCGTTGTTATGGAACAATGGAGGAAAATCATTCCATCAACTCGACTTCAATCCCGCCGCATCTATATCTACATAACCTCCATGATTCAAGGGATAGTGATAAGATGTTCTTCTGCCAAAAGGATCAAAGTTTGATTGACAAAGTCCCTTGGTTGATTTTTAGAGCCAATGTTTACTTTGTTCCATCTTTATGGTTTAATCCAACATTCCAAGCCGAACTAACTAAGCTGTTTCCGCAGAAAGAAACCGTCTTTCACCACTTGGCTCGGTATCTTTTTCACCCCAAAAATCAAGTTTGGGATATCGTCACTAAGTACTACCATGATCACTTATCCAAAGCAGAGGAGAGACTCGGGATTCAAATTCGAGTTTTTCGCGATCAAGGTGGATACTACCAACACGTCATGGACCAGGTCATATCATGCACACAAAGAGAGAAACTTCTACCTGAATTGTCTACACAAGAAGAATCAAAAGTCAATGTATCGAACACCCCGAAACTTAAAGCTGTTCTTGTCACTTCTTTGTCTCCTAAGTACTCTAAACAACTAGAGAACATGTTTTCAGAGCGATCAAATGTGACAGGAGAGATTATTGAAGTTTATCAGCCAAGTGGAGAAAGGTATCAACAAACAGATAAGAAGCAACACGACCAAAAGGCGCTTGCTGAGATGTTTCTTTTGAGCTTAACCGATAACATTGTTACAAGCTCAAGGTCTACATTTGGATATGTTGCTTATAGTCTTGGAGCATTAAAGCCATGGTTACTTTATCTGCCAAATGATCTCAAAGCTCCTGATCCGCCGTGTGTTCGATCTATGTCGATGGAGCCTTGTTTCCTTACTCCTCCGACTCATGGATGTGATGCCGACACGGGAACTATATCGGGGAAAGTTGTTCCTTTTGTTAGGTATTGTGAGGATATATGGGGGCTTAAGCTATATGATGAATTATAGATATTGTTTATCACATTTGATTTGTTGAATTATTGAAGCATACGATAAATGTTATATATCTTTCTTTTCATTTTCTTCTATTATAATATTTTGTATGAATATATGTTACTGCATGGAAAGAGTTAGTTGTATCCATAACAACTAAGTGAAAAAAAAAAAAAAAAAAAAAGAGTGGAAGAGCTTTTATGAGATCGACCTCTAACGGTCTAAAATAGTAGAAAGAAAGTAGATTATGCAAAATTATATGGATAACTTTAAGGAGGGGTTGATCTTCTAGCCTTTGGGATTGGATGCGCCCGATTTGGATATCAAAACTTGTGGGGATGAGTTAGTCAATGAGGCAAGTCGTGGTGGTCTCTTTCTCCAAGTGAAGCTGTGCGTTTTGAAGTAACAAAAAGCCGTTGGTGAAGTTGTCAAGTGTGAACACGAATGCGAAAACCTTCAAATATGGCAAGTGGAGATCCTTTTTTTTGTCTTTTGTCTTCTTATTCTTTGGATGAATTGGGACCAATTCTTGGGAACAAAAGGAAGCTTCTAAGACTCCAAGTGGGTCTCCAAGTCATGGTATTAACTGGTGAGAAGTTTAGTATACGAGATTCTCTTTGAACTTTACCATTTCTCTATTTTGAGGTCATCTCCTAAACCAGCTCGAACATGTGATGGTTTCCTTCGATCATTCCTCATAAAATTGGTGATTTGTCGATGAATATTCATGCTCAGCTCAAATTGACGAGTAGTTTGGCTGTTTGGTAGTTTCACACATTAGACTCCTTCGATCATCTCTTGATTTAGTCTGACAATGGACAAATATCTCTTGTTCAAAAGTCTTAAAATGTGTATGCAAAATTGGTGTTGGGTTGTTTTGGTGAGCTTTCTCAGTCATGTCCGGATGGGAGTTGCTGGTCTAGTACGGTTGTGAATGTAACTACATGGGTAGTTAGTCTTCGGATAGGTAGATTGAATTCTAGAAGTAACAAATCTTGGACAATCATTTCTCCTTTGCCCTTAACATGTTCCCCAAAGAAGAACGTCTCTCCTTTCTCTTCGGCTAAAACATCATGTCCGTTTGATTGCGGCTTTAGTACAGTCCATTAGAAGAAGAACAAGTGTCACTCTCTCTATTGGTTGCACGTGTGAGTCTCACATGAAGATTGTTAAACTGCTAAAAAGTACTTATGTCTCTGTTTCTTTCTTTATCGTGTTGTACCGTAGATCGGATAAGGGTTTGAGAAGGGAGATCATAGAAAGCTTGTAATTGACCTAAGTACAAGTGGATTCTGGATCCTGGAGTCAATCTCCACTGAGACATTAGCTTCTGGTTTAGAATCCGAACTCGTAAAATATTTGTGTTCTTTTCTTTTGCATGTGTTTCATTCTCTTGCAAATCTTATTCATATCGAATAAGCAATGTCTAATCAGGAACTAGTAGTTGATTAAGATTCACTGTTGGGATACAAACCAACGTGAAATATTAGAAAATAATAGTCTAATATATATATGCTAAGTCCAACTTTAATTAGTATGAGGATTTTTGGGAAGAACCCCAAAAACAAATCCATGCGGACTTAGACACTTGGGCTCAAAGCGGACAATATATATCATACTTATGGGGATTGGAATGGGCTTAGAGAGCCCAATAATTGGTATCAGAGCCTAAGTCGAGAAAATCGGACCTAGAGGAGTGGGTTTAGGCCTATGATTAATGTGGGAGAAAGCCCTCAATGTGACACGACAAGAAAGGTGCTTCAAGAACCTTGTGAATAAGGGGTGCCGATGCTAGGATGCCAAGATTTTGCTGAATTAGAAATAATAGTCTAATATATAAGCCAAGTCCAACTCCAATTAGTATGGAGTATTTTGGGAAGAAGCCCAAGGCACTTGGGCCCAAAACGGATAATATCATACTAATGGGGAGTTGGAATGGGCTTAGAGAACCCAATATTCACAAACTGGTATCATAGTGTTTGTTTGCTGAGTCTGCTCAATTCAAGATCACAAGCTCGCAGCATAAAGTGATTGATTCAATGCGAGACTTAGAAGACCGAAGTAGATCCATTTATCTTGATTGATGTCTCCCATTGTCAAATTAACAAATTGACAAGTTTTGTAAAGAAAAAGACATAGTAAGGCGTAAAACATAGACTTACACGCCACATCAGAATGGGGTTGCGGAGAGGTTAAATGTCAAGAAGGAGATGAAGATGTAAAAGATGTTTCTTATTTGATACGTAAGAGAGGCAATGCCTTATATACAACAACATGATTTAACCTAGTGTGGCTATACAATCTAAGTGGGCTTAGGAGAGGCCTCATAGCCCAATACCCCCCCCCCCCCCCCCCCCCCCCCCCGCAAGCTGGAGTATGGAGATTGCAAATACCCAGCTTGAGAAGAAAAGCTTCAAACTCACGACGACCCAATGCTTTAGTCATAATATCCGCTAGTTGAGATGTCATGGAAACATGTTTGGTGGCAATGGTACCACGTATAATCTCATCACGGACGAAGTGAACATCACGACCAACATGCTTCGTACGAGCATGATACACAGGATTGGCAGCGAGACTAATAGCCGAAAGACTATCAGAATACAACATGATGGGTTCATTACACGAGATACCTAGGGCTGGAAGAAGAGCACGCAGCCAAAGAAGCTCGCAAACGGTGTCAGCCATAGCACGATACTCGGCTTCGGCTGAGGATCTAGAAACCACATCATGTTTCTTTGTTTTCCAAGATATAGGAGAGCCTCCAAGTTGAATAAACCAACCCGTTAGAGACCTTTGTGTTATCGGACAAGAATCAAAACCGGAGTCACACCAACCTGTTAGCACCAAAGACGTGTTGGAGCGTAAAAGAATGCCTTGACCCGGACTTGATTTGAGATAACGAACAACCCTGAGAGCAGCTTCCAAATGGTCGGCTTTGGGATCACTCATGAATTGTGAAAGCATGTGAATCGCATAGGACAACTCAGGACGTGTGGTGCCAAGATAGATAAGCCTGCCAACAAGACGACGATATCGAGAAGGATCCGAGATCGTGTCACCAGAAGCTAAAGCTAGCTTATGATTCTGTTCCAAAGGATGGGATGCAGGCCTAACTCCAAGTAGACCCGTTTCCGTGATAATATCGATGGCGTACTTACGCTGACACAAGTAAATCCCGGCGGGACTCCTAGCAACCTCAATTCCCAAGAAGTACCTTAAAGTACCAAGATCATTCATGTAGAAACATGAGCTTAAGTACTGTTTAAACTCAGTGATCACATCAAGAGAAGAACCAGTGATGATCAAGTCATCGACATAGACAAGAACATGTAAACGTATGCCATTTCTCTCCATTGTGAACAACGAATAGTCGGAGATGTCTTGTATGAACCCGTAGTCTTTCAAAGCAGTAGTAACTTTGGCGAACCAACAGCGAGGAGCTTGTTTTAATCCATACAAAGCTTTACGTAGGCGACACACTTTACGATTATCATCACTACCAAAACCCAGTGGAAATTTCATGTAGACTTCTTCATCGAGATCACCGTGTAGAAAGGCATTGTGGACATCCATTTGGTGAACTTCCCAGTCTAAAGAGGCTACTTGTTGAAGAAAAGCACGAACAGTGACCATTTTTGCAACCGGAGCGAACGTTTCATAGTAGTCAATACCTTCGGTTTGATTATTACCGAGAACAACCAAACGTGCTTTATGTCTTTCAAGCGTTCCATCCGATTTGTATTTAAGTCTAAAAACCCATTTGCAGCCTAGTGCTTTCTTACCAGGAGGTAGATCTTCTACTGTCCATGTACCAAGATTCTCAAGAGAGACGATCTCATCCGACACTGCGCAGCGCCAATTCTCATCAAGAATGGCTTCCTTGTAGCTGTGAGGTTCAATTCCCGAAGAAATGGCAAAAACATAAGCTTGATACGCGTCAGAGAACTGAGAGCTTGAGACATAGTTGTCCAGCGGGTATGGAGTCACTGACGGGTGAGGCTGGTGAAGTAATGTGGTGACATAATCCGCAAGCCTCACAGGAGGATTTTTCTTGCGTTTGCCTCGTCCAAGTAATTCAGGTTCTGGTTCTGTAGGTTTTGTCGTGGAAGAGGAATCTGCCGGAGTGTCAATTTTAAGCGGAGACGGTGATGGTGCTGTTGGTGACAAAGGCGGAGACGGTGATGCCGGAGACAATGACGGAGATGATTCAAGAGGAGTGGAAGAATTCAAGTCCTCATTGTCAGACGGCTCATCAACAGATGTTGATTCGTCGGAGATGATATGAGCATCAACATCATCGTTGAGAGTGGTGGGTGATGATGACGTTGTTAATTCCGGAGTTGTAGTGATACTGACCGGAGTAGGAGACGGTGATTCTGATGGCAAAGAAGGAGACTGATCTTCGTCGGAGAGAGAGAGCTGCGAAGCTGGCGTGGAGTCAAAAACAGAGGCTGGAAAAGGAAACTCTGTTTCCCGGAAAACAACGTCACGGGAGACAGAAACTACCCCTGTTTCTAAATTGTATACTCTCCATCCTTTCTTTGCAAAAGGATATCCGATAAAAATAGATTTGTTACTTCTACTCTCAAATTTGTCACCTCCATGCTTTTGATTATGAACGTAGCAAATACAACCGAAAACCCGAATGTGATTAACCGGAGGAGGACAATTATATAGGAGCTCAAATGGTGTCTTGCCTTGAAGTAATGGAGTTGGAGTTCTATTGATTAGGTAAGCCGCAGTGAGTGCGCAATAGCTCCAAAATTCAATAGGTAATCTAGCTTGAAAACGAAGAGCACGTGCGACATTGAGAATGTGTCGATGCTTGCGTTCTACTCTACCATTTTGTTGTGGCGTCCCCACACAAGATGTCTCATGTATAATGCCATTGTCAACGAAGAACGAAGAGAGACAAACAAACTCCGAGCCGTTATCACTGCGAATTGTCTTTACCTTAGTAGAAAACTGCCGCTCAACCAGAGAAATGAAGTTTTTAAGATGCATCGGAGCTGTTTGTTTCGAAGGTAGGAGATATAGCCAGACAGCCCGTGTATAGTCATCAACGAGTGTGAGAA